AATTATAAGAGAAGGATGGATTAATATTTTTTTACCTATAAGTAGCTTTAATTTACAATTATAAGTTTTTTATTATTTTAAATAACTTGAAGTGTTTTTTTACTTATAAGCAAATTTTTATTTTTTAGATAGTGTAATCTTTTTATTAATATTTAATTTTAAAATAAAAATAAAAAACTCTTAAAAGATGGGATTGTGATCACTATTAATTCTTGTCACTTGAATTTTCACACTTGCTTGGTTTGTACTATTTATTAATTGGTTCATAAAATGTCTCTTAAAAGTGGGTTTCGCTCTCTCTCACTTTCATTCTTCATGGCAAAGAAAACACTATTACAATGATTTTCAAAATCTGAGATATTGAAACTCAGAGAGTTGAATGAGAGATCTTGAGAAGGAAACTACAGTATGAAATGTATGAAGTGAAAAGATAATCTGCAATAGTTAATTAATTGAAAGCATTGGATATGCTATTTGAGCGAAAAAGATTTGGTGATTATTGATTGTTTTTTAGTTTTCTATGTTATTTGCATTCAGTGTGTTTCATTATCGTTTAAAAATGCGTGATATTTTTAGACTTTATATATGCTGAACTGAGAACTTTAGAAATTACGCTGACTGATGCTCTGACTTTCTTTTATTTTGTAGCTAGGGCCTCAAGAATGTCCATATCAGTATCTTATGAAACATGAACTGAAGAATGCAACATTTTATCTTTATCTTACTCTTTCACCATGTAAGTAAACCTTTGTTGGAAGTTTCTAAAATAACTTATAAATTGAAATTTGCTTGTGTACCAAATGATATTAATTTAATCATTGTCTATCTAGTGAATTGACTAAGTAAAACCTTGCTGTTTAACATCTATAGTTAGAAAGATCGTTAAAAATTTGTTGGTTATTAGTCTTAATATCTCATGAGTAGAGACATCATATTTGATGTTTGCTAAGTATCTTGATTTGGTTCGTTAATTTTTCTTCATTTCTTACGTCACAGTGACTATTTTGAATGCCATATAGCAAATCTTAGTGACTATTTCAAATGCCATGACAAATATTTATGCTACTATTTCAAATATTGTAGCACAACTAACATTTTAAAAGAGTCATTCATACTTTTTTTTTTTTTTTAAATAAATCTCATTAACTTTTGTCATGTAGCTTCGATGTTCAGCTAGCATTTGAAACTAGAGCCTTTATGTCTAGAGAAAAAGTTGACGTGGAAGAAAGAATTGAATTCCATACTATAAATGCTCGTGGTTCGATATTTATACATTTGATTTTTAAATAACTAGACAATTACATACTATCAAGTCTAATTATAATACATTCTATATATGTTAATAGAGTATGATAAATGATTCTTTTATCACCCATCAATGCAAATGATGAAGGCGACACTGTAACCCAACATATTTAATACACTAGCATTACGTTCAAAATAATCCAACACATGTATTGTATGGGCAAAGACTAGTATTGAAAGAAGAAAAAAAGTTTGGCAACACATTCGAATAGTTTACAGATTTTAAAAAAAAAATACAGAAATGTTTGTGAGGTGAATTGACCCACATGACCCCATGTGGGTCCGTCTATGTGGCTGCCTATCTAATGAAGGTTGCTCGCAAGGATAACACTAGGGCAGACTCCTCATCAAAATTGTCCTCGATTAACTTAAGGATTCTACCTCGAATGGATTCGGTACGAGCATTGTTTAATCCCAGTTACATTGCCATTATAGAGGTTAACAAAATCGAGCACAGGTCCACATGGATGGACTCACTGTTATACTTGAAGGATGACAAGCAACTAGAAAAACAAAGTGGAAGCTCGACGACTCCACACGCGAGCAGTAGGTTTTGCTTGGTAAATGGACGGTGGCATAAAAATAGTCACCATGCCTTAACAAGAAATGTGTGTTGATGCTTAGTTACGGAAGCAGATATTTTGAATTGAGGAACACAATCAAATTTGTAAAAAAGTTTTGAAAAAACTAAAGCATTTGGTATCTTATTATAATTGTTCTCTACGTGTTCTTATAATTTGACAACGTTCCTATTTCCTTCCGTGTATGTTTTATCAATTCAATATGAATGTTTTAAAATTCTCATGTGTAGTTTGATCTTCAGAATTCTCTTCATACAAACAATGAAAATCAAAGAGAAAATACCTTATTTTTCACACTTATTCTTTTTATTAGCCCCCGTTTGACTCCCATTCTTCTTCTCATTATTTTTTTCTCTCTTATTTTCAATCACATAATCTTTCATAAAGTAGTATTATACGTAAATCTAAAACATTTCATTCTTTTTCAACTTACATTTTTCAAAAAAATAATATTTCAACCATTAAAATTTAGAAAGAATGGGGTCAAACGGGGGGCAAAGTAATTTAAAAGACTTCCAATTATTGCTACAGCTTGTTAAACTGGCCATCAAGTCTGAGAGCAGACTATTAGTGTTTTATTTTCAAATTTTCATTTATGTACATATGTCTTCAGCTAATGACAAAAATTTATGAATCGAATTCTAAATGCATCCAAGAGAAGTCCTATAACCTGAAAATATGTGCATTCGCAATCCGATCTCGAGATCTGCTATTTTCTCCTACTATATTGAGATCAACAAAAGCGTGTTAGAAGCTAAAGGAGCATACTACATGTATAGACAAAAAACTCACACAAGTCCTACAGAGAAGTCACAACAGGAGAGTGAGTGTTTTTTTTTGGGCAATAAAATATTTACATGGGGCATTCCGTGTCTTCTTTCTCTTTACATATGGAATAATTGGAAGTTAAAATACAGTGCGGAGGGCATGTGTTCTCAATTTCACTAAATATTTTCTGTTTTAGTAGAACATATTCAACAACAACCTGCAACTAAGACAAAGTTACAAAACCATATACTACAAAATTAGCAGAGAACAACAAATACCACCAATCTAATCAACTAAAACTCCACAAAGAAGATGATCCATCACATATTCACAATTATATTTCTATATTCCAAATAGTTAAAGAGATAATTCAATAGGCTTTAAAGGTTATAACAGAATTCAAATGAGCGAGAGGCAACGAATGAACAACAGGCGGCTAAATCGCAGTGGTGGAGGCAGGAGGGCTTTGATTTTCCAAAGTAATCGGGTTTTTCTTCTTCAATGGAATGGCTGAATAGGAATGGGTTTTGGCGATTTGAAAAGGAGAACTAGAGTTCTTGTGATTTGAAAAGGACAATGGGTTTTAAAGATTTTGAACATTCTCTAAATCTAATCTTTGATTTAAAAAAAATAAAGAAACTCAAGAATTAAGTTGGTGAGTCACGTGACCCTCCAAGCCCCATTGTGCATCCGCCAGTGTTGATGCAGACAGGGTTTGGATGATTATGAGCGAGATTCAATCGAGAATGTGTGGTAATCATCAAGGCGAAACATGCTGGCATTTAAGGCTATTGGAATAAGGCATTATTGGCCTACGGCGAAAGAAGATACAAAAGGTATAGTGCAGAAGTGCGGCCATGTCTGTGAGATGCCAATCTCATACATTTCCCCGCAGAGAATTGTAAAGAAGTAAAATGGTAGAAACAATTATCTTCAATTTCTCATTGATCAGTATACTTTATATATTTGTACATGGACATGATTTACATGAAAATAAAATCATCTATAAAAAATTCTGGGAGATAACTAAAATCATGGAAGCTAAAGTTTAATTAAACTTGTGGGATTTCTATATGCTGTAATACTGAAATCATGGGAGCTAAACTTGTGGGATTTCTATGTGCTGTAATACGCCCCCTCAAGTTGGTGCATGAAGATCCGTAATGTCCAACTTGTGAGAGAAGTGATGAAAGAGATCGGATCCTAATGTTTTGGTGAAGATGTCGGCAATCTGCTCGGCAGATGGAAGATGAGCAGTGGTGAAGAGACCAGAACGGAGTTTGTTACGAACAATGTGGCAGTCTATCTCAATAAGAATAGTGCAATAACATTCATAATTTGCTTCTTCCATCAGCGGTGACTTGATCTACTAGGCCCATTGCCAATAGCGTCGGCACAAAGGAAGTTTTTAATCATTGCAATTGCAATTGACTACCTCACAAAGTGGATTAAGGGAGAGGCCCTAGCAACTGTTACTACTAAGAAAATTCATATCTTGGGGTGGAAAAATATTATATGCAGAATCAAAATACAAGATTGAGAAGATTGACAATGGAAAGCAGTTTGAAAACCCCAGCTTCGTAGAGTTTTGCTCGAGCTACAAGATCTATCTTCGTTAATGATGATCAGATTTGTTCCTTTCAAGGATAATCTACTGACTTGGGGTCTAATGATGATGAGATTCGATCAATTCCTTACGAGCACGGGTCTAATAATGATGAGATTTGTTCCCTCCAAGACTAATCTACCATTACCACTTGGCAGAGTATCGTGTAATTAATAGAGAGTCAAAGCCCCTGGTACATGCCGCTTTGCTAATCAAAAGATAGGAGAGCATCCCTAATTTCAAAGTTAGGGAGTCATTTTGTCGAATTTCTTCAACGTGATTCTTTCATGTGCCCTAGTATACTCTACTTGTTCATCTGTGTCATTTGGGAGACGGATCAACTCGAGAACATAACAAGATAACAATTTTGAGCAAGAGTCTAATAATGATGAGATTTGTTCCTCCCAAGAATAATCTATTTGAACAACTTGGAAACGGAAAGAGAAAACAATTTTGGGCAACTTGATCGAGTTCAATCCATCAAGGAGAATGAGTTTGCTTCGGGAGATGATCGAGGCATATCACGAAAGAGAGAACAATTTTGAGCGACTTGATCGAGTTCAGTCAATCAAGGAGAGTGAGTTTGCTTCCAGAGATGACAATGCATATTGCGAGGCCAGTTGTCGCAGGCTGTCGACTCCACCTGTTACCTCTATGTCAGCTTTACCCTTGAGAAATTTTACAAATAGGCTAGAAAAATAATTTTATCGTCGACCTTGCTCTAGAAAATGGTTAAACACTGTCTTTTTCTAAAAGAAAACGGAACAGAAACATTCTATTCTCCCAAGGAAAAGTGTACAAAACTAATCACTCAGGAACACTTGAAGATCAAAAATAATAAGCCATCTAGTAAACCAACAAATATTATCAAAATTGGAAAGATTAAAATGAAATCAGCATAGAACTGGATTCTATAACCCAAGGTAAAACACCAAATATTATTATACATAACCTATATATAAGTATAACAACATTTAAACCAAACAGGCGTCAACTCAATCCTTGTTCATCGCCTTCTCGACTCGTTCATTCAACATCTCCGCCTGTGAAACCAAATGCGTCACTGCAAAAAGAAGCCAATAGAGCACCAGCGCCGAAGCAATCAACAACGTATTCCGTTGAGACTTGAGTACGGATTTCTGGTGTCGCATGAGATCAGTCGGGTTACACGACTCGGGAGAGGAGCAACTCGGGCGAGTCTCGTACTTCCAGTAGATGTCCATCAACAGGAACAAACAAAACGGTATAACAGATAGAAATGGTTTGAGTAAATTGCGGGTTACAGAGATTACACCCTTCCGTAAAGGATTCATGGTTGGAGGCAGAGTGAGCAAAAGGACCATCATAGCTTCTGCAGCCGCGGCATAGCTTAATACAACCCATTCCAATGCCATTTTTGAGA